AAAGTTTTTGCTGAAAATGGAGGTAAGGTAACTGACTCCCCTTGGTTTTGCGATAAAAAATGCAATTTTTCCGTTCAGGAAATAATATTAATAAATAGACTCATGTGTGGACACACATATGGAAAGATTTTTTTAAGTAAGTTTAAAGCTAACATCACTGATGCCTGTTTATGCTGTGGGGTTAGAGAGACAAATGACCATCTTATTTTTGTATGCCAAAAGTTTTCCGCCGCCAGAAACAATTTCACTATTTTTAGTAAATACAACTGCTTAAAAGAAATTTTCGCCAGTTTTGATTATTGCCATCTCAGGGAGTTGCTTTGCTTTTTGGAGACGGTGAAGCTCGACACGCTTCTTTGAGTATAAAAAGATATAGATATAGGAAAAAAAAAAATTAAAAGTGTATGTATGTATAAAACAGACATATGTTTGTTTATTGTTAAGTAATAGTCGTTTTAGGGAAAATGAAGAAAAACAATTTCAAGCAGTCAATTATTAAAAAAAAGAGAAATTTTAACGAAAGCAAGGAAAAAAAAAAGTATGAAACAAATATGTATGCATGTTTGTTCCGAATGCTTTAGAATGTAGTCATATGATTAAATTTTTCTATTCAATCAGATATGGAATTCGGCACGTACGATTGTGCATTTAAAAAATAATAATGATAAAAATAATTATATTAGTAATAAAATAAAAAGAAGAGAAAGAAGAAGATGATGGAGGAGTGGCATTAAGAGATATGTATGACTGGTTTGGAGTATGGATGTATCTACCTCATTGTAGTTAAATTTTCCATATGTACACGTATTACGAGTTTGTTGTGTTAATTGTAAAGATGTCTAAATTAGTGTTTTTTCTGCAATCAAGTTCCTTTGATTCTGCTGGTACAACCACATTTTATTAATTATAAGATAGCCGATTCACTTTATTACTTGGCTTAAAAAATGAATTACTTCTGTAGTTTTTGGTGATTTTGTACTCAATAATTTTTTAATTTCCTCATGTACATGAAAATTCATCTTATAACCTGTACTTACATGAGTACCTGATAGGGTACAAACCTTTTATTCTTGTATAAAAGGCAATCAAAAAAAAAAAAGGCTGATAGAGAGTATTGTATTTATTGTATTATAATGTACGTAGTACGATAGGTTAATTTGGTGATCAATCACTTTTGAATTTGTGCAGTTTGAATTTTTTGCTTGGTTTAGTCTCAAAGGCTATTTTAGTTTGTATTTTACTATCTTGTATTAGAAATTAATTTTGTGAGTCACCCTGCATGCTTGTTCGACGTGGGATTGAATCATCACTGGAACCGGCTCGTCGGGTCACCGCTCACTAAAAGCTTCGCATTACAATTAAAATCTTCTTGGACAACCTAGGTTCTAGGACAACCAGCTGGCTCTTGAGGACATCATAACAGTCCTTGCCAATTTTCTATACGCGTTGTTGCGTTTCTAAACAAAAAAAAAAAATAAAAATAAAATTTCACCTCTGGAAACTTTATCCCCATAAAGGACTTCACCACAGGTTTTTTACTGGATATACTGTGCGCATAATTAATTAAAAAGGATAACCTGGCTTTCTAAGGACTTTTTGTATAAGTTCCTCGCTATTTTTTAATGCTTATGAGCATTGTTTAGTTCAAAAAAAAAAGACAAGTCAAATTCGCTACTTCTGCCAAAAATTTCAATTTGAAAAGTACTAATTAAAAAAAATTTCTTTAAAATTTTCGAATTATTTCCTATTAAATTCTTTGTACAGCATGGCACACATTTTTGAAAACAAAGTCGAGTTATTAATCGAAAGTGTGCAAGTGAGCACACAAAGGAGTAATTTAAAGTAAAAAAATAAATGAAAAACCGTCAAATCGCTTTTTAACTTTTTTGCACCGCCCTCCCACCGGCAGCAGAGGAAGCACATATTTTCCAGACTCGCGGAGGTATCTGGACCTATTCGCAAATAATAAACTAAATTGAAACATTTAATTTTGTTCAAACACACGAAAAATTGAACATAGAAATAATTGATTTTTCGCAATTGTTTGTGAGAGGAGTGCTGGAATTCACGACGCTTTGAAGTAGTGGATACAAAAAAATAAAGCGTCCAATAACGAGCCGTAAAAATGAGTAAGTTATTTTCCTCAGCAAGGATATGATTCAATTTTGTAACTTCTTCCATGAAGTTGAGTTATATTAGCATGCTTTTCGTACATATTTTCTGAGCTTCAAGGACGAAAATGCGTCCTAGATTTTCCTTTTCAGTAATAACTGAGGGATCCTATTTCGGAACGTTTGCGCTCATAATGAGCGTCTGAAATGTGTTAACGTACTAAAAAATATAAGGTAAATTCGAGTAATAATTAAACAATCTATTAAACGAAAGGTGTTTGGTTAATTAGAACATAAAAAAATATCTAACATGTAAAGATGATTGTTACCCAATTAAAATGTCTGATGTACTACTATATCTATATTTCAGGCGAAGAGGAGAACGATAAAATTACTCTGGATCTCTCGAGAAAGCAATTGAAAAAAGTGCCAAAACAAGAAGATGCACAAAATGTGCGTGTGCTCAAATTAGACGAAAATGAGCTACAAAAGATAGACAACATTGACTCATACCTAAAAATTGAAGTTGTAAGTGCGAAAAATTCCGGACTAAATGTATTTTTTTTTAGTAAAAAATCTAATGTAAATAAATTTATAACTCTGCTTCCTTTGCAGCTATCGCTTAGCAAAAACCAGCTGCTTCGCATGTACGGCGTCTGTCGCTTGCACTGTTTGCGTGAACTGAATCTCTCCTTCAATGGCATACTATCTATTGAGGGACTAAAGGACTGCATACATTTGCGGCATTTGAATTTAGAAGGCAACAATATTAAAACTATTGAACATTTAAATAATAAAGTCAAACTAGAATATTTAAACCTGGCAGAAAATAGTATAGGCAGTATATCGGATATATCGTTTTTGAAAAACTTAAAAGTGAGGAAATAAAGTTTTTACTTAGTTTAAATTTATAAAAACTTTGTTTTGTAGGAACTACATTTGCACGGGAACCGCTTAACGCATCTACGTCAATGTGATAAATATCTGCCTTCCTCATTGGAAGTTTTATCGCTAGCAAAGAATTACATTACCGATTTAAATGATATTTGTACGCTATTAAATTTGTCTAACTTGCAAAGCTTGACGCTCAATGAAAATCCTTGTATTATGATGACCGGAAATGCAGAGTAAGTTCAAAGATATTTATTACGTAAGTTTTCTAAAACTTTTAACTTTTTCAGTGGTTTCGATCATCGTCCGTTTGTGTTGAACTGGTGCATGAGCTTGAAAGTTATTGACGGCTTCGTTGTCGATCCCATCGAGAGGTTTAATTTACTCGACTTTTTGTATAATTTTATGAATGGTTTATAGTTACACCTTATTCATTTCAGCCTCAAAGCGGAGTGGCTTTACAGTCAGGGTCGTGGTCGACAGTTTCGCCTTGGTGAACAGGCTGCGCTGGCCAAGTATTTAAGTTCTGTCTGCCCACTAATTGGAAAAGCACTGGAAAATGAGAATGAACGAAAGCTCCGCTTGATTCTCAGCAAAGCGCAACAACATCAACGTCAGCTGCAAGAAGAAATATCAGAAAATTCAAATGCTTCGAGTAATAACTCACCATCTAGTGGTCGACGAAAGACATGCAGTCGCATACAATCACCAAAATGTAAGAAATCTACGTGGCGTCAATATATGTAGTTTTTGTACATTTGCTGGATACTAAATTTAATTTAAAACCCCCGCTTTTAGTTTCGCGTTTAAGTGGCAGGCAGGGCTCACCAGATTCAATGGTGAATAGCTATCATGGCAACACTTCAAGCGACACTAGTAAGATGTTTGTTTTATTTGCATTCAATACATGTAATTTTTTAAAACGATTTTTAATTTTCAGTTTCAAACAATGCTAATCACACTGCACCGATGACTACATCTCTAATTGAGAACATCAAACACGATTCCCTGCTTATGACGCAAAGCTTTGATGGCTCATCCCCTGGTGGCGGCAGCACTATACATACGCGCACGAACAATTCGCAGGAATCTACACCTCGCACGATAACGCCAAATCCCTACAACGGTGAGACGAAAGTGTATGAAAGATTTCATTGGAACCGGAAAGGGACATCGCTTTTGCCATTTTTGAAGTCTAAATTAACAATTAGGAAAAGCGAGAAACATTTTAACTTTTACTTACTCGTTTAACATTTATTTTCACTTCTTTGTGTCGCGACTAATTCTTTCGCATTGCAGATCAAAATTATACAAATGTGCCCGTCAGCGGTGGCGGACCTTTGGCGGCCGCCTCCAAAATGGTGCCAGTGCCAGAGACGCTTATGAGCCCGGATGTGTGTCCCGCCGTTGTGGCGCAGCGTGTCACCGTCAACGCAATCAATACACAGATGCAGAATTCGAAAACTCACAAAAACAAAGGTGATTTTCCTTAAACTTTGCTTTTATGTATTTATTCAATTTGGCTTTTCGAAATCGCAGAATGTTTTGTTAAATTATTTGTCACATGCATTCTTTTGTTTGTAAATATAGGTTTGTTCGTCGAAAATCCAGCAAGAATTATCCAACACTCAAAATATCAGAGAGTAAGAAAAAATTCTCTCAAATTCTCTCTCATATTGAGAAACTTGCAAATTTCTGCACGAACGCAAATTTGCAGGAATTTGCAAGTTTCGCTGCCAGCTGGCGTCCACGGTTGCATTTCAAACATAAAAATTTTTTATAGAATTTTTAAAATTCTTTCGGATGGCCAAAAACAGGATATACATGTATATTTCTTGTTGTTCTGACTTTCTTTAACATACATTTCAATATCTTCATCGTACTAGCTGTCGGGTTTCTTAAATCGACTCTGGTTGCAATTGCATTCCGATTGCGAATACCATTTTTTTAGCCGAATTAAGTTCAAATCATTGGAATTAACTAAATTAATTATATCAACAATTATTTACTTCCTTTTTTCATAAAAAAATCGCTCGTGTTTATAAATTTTTAAATTTAACGAACTAATTTATTCAAATTATTGTAGACAAAAATGCAACCATGCGCCACCACCACATGTTTTTCGTGTTTGCAAATTCTTGCTGGCAAAATTTTTTCCAGCAAGAATTTGCAACTTCTCCCCAAGAGAACTGTCACTTTGCTCTCACAATTTTTGAGTGTTGGATAATTTTTTGGTCTGCACGAACGCGATTTGGGCAAAAATCGTGATAATTCGTACAAATTCGTACAAATTTGTTGCTCGACGAACAAACCTTATGAGAGTTATTGATATCGAAATCGTTTTAGATAACAAACTGAATTCGCCGAAGATGCGCAGTCCACATTTGAAACGCAATGCGGAACGCTGCAGCCCCAATATGAGCTCACGACGAGGCAGCAGCACTTCAAATATGTTACTGCAGCATAACAATGTTTCGAATTTGAATCGAGCGCTAGCCGCACACGCGAATGCTCAGGCCGATAACCAAATGAAGTCACGTCTGGCGGGCAATTCAATGCATGTCGTCGTAGCGCCAGACACAGGTTCGGGCGGCATCAGCTCGGATGACGATAGCGATCACATAAACATAGACAAATTGAAAACGATTCGAAATAAGGCAGCGCAACGGTAGGCAGTTTGAGTTTAAAATTCTAAAATTTTTATTTACCTATTTTGTGATTTTTTACAGCTCGCAGCAGCAACAAAAAGAAGCAATGGTCGCGGCGACGAATGCGCAGCTTACACAAAATCACGCCACCGAATCATCGGCGGTGGTCATACAAAAAATCTGGCGCGGATATCGCACGCGCAAGAAAACAAAGGACATCGCCGAGAAATTACTCAAAATACGCACACATGAGTACATTGAGTATGACACGATTGCTGTAGATTTAATTTTCTCCGCCCTTTATTAAGCACAGTTTTTTGATTTCCAGTAAACTAACCAAAGATATGGAGTTAACCAAAGCGCAGTTGGAAAACGAACGCAAAATTCAGCAGCTACAAATGCAGGCCATTAATGCGCTTTGGAAGAAGGTTTCCACAATGCAGGGTGGTGCCACAGTTAGCAGTGCTGCTACTGGCACGAGTGATGGCGCAACTGCGGATGTAAATGCGAGCACTTCTGCGGACGGCGGACGTGCAACGGCACTTGATAATAGCTCGACTGCGGCCGTGCATGATTTGGCTAAGACCTGCACTATGCTAACCAATCAGGTATGGTTTCTGGATATTTCTATTGTAAAGTTATATTTAAAACAATATTTTTCACCACATTAGGTGCAACAGCTACAAGGCTCCATGCGTGACATACTCAATTGCCTAACGTTGTTCTGTAATTTGCCACAGGAGAATGTAAAGAAGCTGCTTTCAGCCGGTGTGGCCGACGCTCTTTCGACTGAGAAACGCGATTCTGCTGCCACGCAAACGGAAATTGTTGCCGTGCATACTCCGCAAATAGAAAATCAAAGCAATTTCCCTTTCTCCAAAATACGCCCATCATCGCTACCACTGGATAGACAAAAGTGTGGGAGCAATCAGAACCAACCGCTAATGGCCGGCAACGCTGTACCACTATGCGCTGCTGGCGATGCAGCTTGCGGCGAAAAAGCGCCAACGCAACAGCAGCGAATACTTGAGGATTGCGAGGCAGAAGAGCTACACAGCGAGAGTGGTATACAGAGCGAGGATGTACGTAGCGTGGAGGAGGCTACAGACTCGCTGGTAGAGAAGTCGGACGGTGGCAAGGAATAATTGTAGTTATTTTAATTCTCTTCGAATGCAACGTTGTATTGTAAACAACGAATTTGCCGTGCTTCTGTGTGCTTATAAACTCGAATTTGAAACATGTCACAAGTTAAAGTTTGTGTACGTATGAATTTTTGGCGCCTTCAACATAGACCGAATGAAGAAGAGCGCGTCGCAAAAAGATCTCATTCATGAAATTTGTCATTCCTTATTTTTATTTCATAAGTGCTATGCCTTTTTTACAATCAATTAAATGTTCGATGTCCAGGGCTCGAATCGCGGCATTCGTCATTGAGTGATTACTAGTCTCGAGTCGAATCAAACAAAATGGCAGCTGCTTTATCCCTAATACAATTTAAATGAACGATGCGCACTCGCTATCGAATGCCGTGATCTAAAAATCAAATTTCGATTCAAGTTACGTTCGATATCGAATGCCGCGATTCGGGCCCAGTTTTAAAAAATATGGCAAATTTAAAATTTAATTTTTTTCGGCTACTTTGTAGCATTTGTTTGGATTAAGCGAAATTTCTTAATTTATTTGTGTACATACCTAGTTTTTATGCTAATGATTTGTTAATAATTTTTTCGAAAAACATGTCGAAATAATACAAAGAAAATTAATTTGTAAAATACGGTTGAATCTGTTTGCTATTGTGCGGGGCCATCGAGCGATTTCACGAAGAAAATATGATGGAGAAGATAAATTGCTAAATTTACAAATTTCACTGCTGTTGAAAAATAAAAACTAGGGCTATTAGTTTTCCGCAAAAAAACACCAAAAGCTGAAGCAATCTGCCCGAGCCCTACACGTTAGCAGCTATGCACTATAGTAATTCTCACGGGCACAGTGAGCTGCTTTAGCTGATGCGCATTAAGCACTTAATATGTATGCTTTTAAATGTTAAGAATAAGGGAAAATTACTTTCATTCATAAAAAATAAACAAGAAAAAAAATAGCGAAAAATACTCAATAAAACAAGTCAGCGTTATGCTTGCTAAAAAACAAAAAAAAAAAATGAATAAAAAATTTAATGTAAAATTTTTTACTAATTTTACACTCTTAAGTACTTGCATCTCAAATATTGCAGTGATCTAAAAGTAAGAATGCAAATAAAAGCGAAATGTGACAAACCATGTCTTGGAGTATAATATTTATTTCAGATATTCCTAATTTGTAACAGACAATTATGCCAACTTGTGAATTCAGATTATGAGATTCCAAAATATTGTGGATAACCTTTTTCTTTCCCTGGCACATCGTTGTATGCAGTAAAATATTTTAGTTTTTCGCATTTCCGCGACGATGTGAGTTAGGGCCCTCTATATAAAAGCAACGAAATGTACCTCAAGCGGTCAACGGAGTCAATGGATTTTCGAAGTTTTTTTCCCATTTGTGTAATCGTAATTTCATAAGGACTTAACCAAAATACATACTTTCTCAACTGGTTATTCCAACGCTAAATTTGCTTAATAAAAACTTGTGAATACTAAAAACAAGGCTTACTCAATTTAACAGACGGATCGACTGTTTTAAAAATCAGCAGCATACAATTTTCTTGCTGCTAATCCTCCAGGCTGAACATTCAAAATAAAATAGCGAAACAGCACCTAAACTCGCCTTATATGTATGTTTACCCTAGCGCCGCTGATGACTGCGAAGCTTGTACGCATTATTCCTCATCACTTGTACTATTATCGTCTTCCTCATCACTATCGACTTCCGCCAGCGCTGGTCTATTGCGATTTCTCATTAAGGACAAATCAACATTCGCCTCTTCGTCGCTATCCACATCCACTTCTTCGTGTTCACGCTTTTTACTAAATTGTTTTGGCCATATACCAGCTTTTATATATTCCTTTACATGCTCAGCGCTAAGAATTTTGCAAATTTCCGCCTTGACTTTATCGCCCTCTTCGATGGGCTCCACCAGCACATAATTACCACGCTTGACCCACACGTTCTTACGAAACTTATTAGGCATGGAAGCTAGGAAATGTTCCTCGTCCGCTGTGGCAGTTTCCACTTCGTGCAGATTATTGCCACGACTGCTGACGACACGCACTATTTGCTGTTTCTCCGTGGGCAGCTCGAAGTCGTCCTCCATCATTTCTTTCAACACGTGTTTGCGGCGTAGTACGCGAGACATTTTGCACTGCAGGATGAGGGTTAGAAAA